GCCTTGTTCTATTTATGACGTACTGACACAAAGTTAAAATGATTTGCAACGGTCGCTTTGTCGCGTCCAGTGTTGAGCTGTTGCGGCGCGATGCGACAACTATAGCTTCCGGTATAGACACGGTGAGTGAAGCCGAGAGCAAGATATGCCTCGTCATATTTTCTGCATTTAGCTTTTAAATGACCAGCACCTGCCTGGGTCTGTGCGACTTCATCTATGGCTTTTCTCTTCCCTTACACAAACCGGTCCATCACCCATTCTAAGTTACGTCCTTTGGCTGTTTACTGGTTTATTTATTTTCTTTTTCTGCTGACGGCCCGCACGCCCCACACTTTGAGAACCACTGCTTTACACAGACTTTAAATAAATAAATAAGAATATATATATTACCTTATAATATATATTATTTTAAGGTCGAAGTCTTCAGTAATGAAATGCACTGTAACACTGTTACTGCTTGAGTAATTTCAATGTGCCGTTTCGAAGTATGTTCATATACGCTTTTTCAAACATTTCCGCGTGTAGCGTGCCAGGGTTGCCAGATTTTCACAACAAAACCCGCCCAATTGCTACTCAAAACTAGCCCAATCCGTTTCGAAGGGGGGTCCACCGGTAAAAAATCGCGTTACAGGGGGTAAAATACACGTTTTTTTATAGGGGTTCCCCAAACCGCGGACTTGGCAACACTGTAGCGTGCCAACTTGGTGCTTCCTCTGAAGACTGCTTAGATTTGTTCGACTTGAAGCGCTGCTTAGACCGATCGGTGTGTGATGTCATACACCGATCGATCTTCAAGTCGAACACACCTCTTTACTCTCGTGTGTCACGTGACCGAGTGTATTGCAATACAATTGCAAATGCAATTAATCGTTCAGCCCTAATTGATAGACATCTTTAAATAGAGCAGCTACACCTCCACCTCTTCTAACAGTCCTGCAGACACTTATAAAAGTAAAGTTAGGAGGGGCTGTTTCATTGAGGACTGTTGCACTGCAGCTGTCTTCTAGCCATGTTTCGTTTAGAAACATAAAATCCAGGTTGTTTGTGGTTAAGTCATTGATCAGAAATGATTTATTTTTTAGTGAGCGAATGTTTAAAAATGCTAACTTGATGGCATTACTTTTTGTCTCTACAGCAATCTTAGTTTGATGCATAATAGGCCGCAGATTAGATGGGTACGGCTTGAGATCCGTACGGCTTGAGAAGGCCTTAGACTTTCTGTCACGTGATAAAACAGAAATAGATAAAGCTACAGTCACACTGGGTAGGGCTGCACGATAAATCGAAATGGAATCGAGACCATCTGAAAGCACGTGATGATGATTTCCTGCTGATTACAGAACCGGCATTACTATCAAAATGCGCATGACAATCGCATTCGATTAATCGTGCAGCCCTAACACTGGGTTCTCGCTCGTTCTGTAAACATTTGTGAGTGTTGCTGCTATCGTAGCGGGGACCCGACACATATCACTGAGAGCTGCTATCAGTTGTTTTTGGTTTTAGTTCATGCCAGCTCAGGCCCATTAAATAGTATTAACACTTCTTTTAATAATGCATTATTAAATTTAGGAATTAACATTGACTAAGATTAATAGATGGATTATAAGTATTTTTGGTTACACTTTTTTTTAAGGTGTCCTTTTTACAGTGTAAATATACATTTAAGTACTGAGTAATATTAATTAACTACATGTACTTACTATATGGTTAGGGTTAGGATTAGGGTTACTTGCATGTAATTATGCATAATTTATTGTTATTACAATAGTAAGTACATGTAACGTGTAACAAGGACACCTTAAAATAAAGTGTTACTATATTTTTCTTTGCTAGTTCACATTAACTAATATAATTACTTAATATTAAAAAACGGGACCTTATTGTAAAGTGTTACCAACATTATTTTACTCGTATATAGAGAAAATTTGAAATGCATGAAATGTGAAAATTTCTGTGTACATTTTTCAGTAATTATACAAGTACAAACTTTGAATACTGTTTGTGCTGCAGAAATTTAAATCAGAGATGCTGTTCCATTTAAAAAAAAATAAATAAATAGCTGATTCTAGCTACGGAAATAATTCTCTCAGGAATTTTGTTTTGTGCTTTTAAAAAACTTTGTGTTCTTGTCTAATGAGGCAATATATTTGGGAAACACAATGGCCAAAATCCTTAAAATCAGTGCAGTTTTCACAGAGGTGCTTTTAATCAAAATCCTGATCATGAAAAACTCATGAATATTCAGTGTTTTGCCCAGACCTAATCTGCTTATCTAAAAACAGCAGACTGACATAGAAGGCAAGAGTGTGAACATTGTTTTAGATGACGTGTAGGCTTGTTTTTGATCCCTGAGGTATGTGGGATGGTCGTATTGCATTGTGGCGAAGCCAAGTGCTTTTCTCTCACGTCCTGCAGGAGATGATTGCTGTCACCTGTAATTACACACTCTTCATCTGTAGCCCTGCAGACGTGACTCATCCGAATAAACAGACTTTACTGAAACCCATTTTCTTCATAGCCACTGCAGTCGGTGTCTGTGGTTAGAGGGGAAAGAAGAAGTGAATGCAGTTTTATTGCCTAAGTAACTTTGACGTTTTTGATTCTTCTTTTATGTTTTACTATGATGCAACCATGCCAGGTCATACTCAAATATTGAACATGCTCTGAGTTGATTCATTATGCAAGACAGTGCAAGAGACTGTAACTCTGCTTTTGAACTTTTAATGAATGAACATGCAGCGCCATCTAGCAGTAGGAGACAGAATTTCTCAAATAGGAGCCCTAGAATGCTGTGGTGGAATAACACTGACACTTAGTGGTTAATTTGAAATAGTCAACAAAAAAGTAAACATTTGCTCATCCTCATGCTGTTCCAATTCAATATATGACTTTCTTTCATTACTACATGTTTTTAGGTTTACCTATGTGTCCCGAGCTGACCAGAGATCACATTCCTAAAGCTAGAGACGTGGGCCACTTCCTGTCCGTCACAGGCACGGTCATCCGCACCAGTGTGACTAAAGTGCTGGAGTATGAGAGAGACTACATGTGCAATAAATGCAGGCACGTGTTCTCCGTGCAGGCCTCTTTTGAGCAGTTTTACACCTTCACTCCACCCACCAGCTGCCCCAATGAGGAAGGATGTAATTCTTTCAAATTCACCTGCCTGTCAGGAAGTGACGCCCCTCCGGCCGCCTGCAAGGACTACCAGGAGATCAAAATCCAAGAGCAGGTGAGATGTTGTTTATTCATGTACAGTCACCCTGGAGCAACCTGGTGCGAAAGAAATAGTTCAGTTCGGCTTTCTTCCCAGATGGGGTTTGGCAGTTGACAACTTTGTTTTGTGCATCGGACATTCAATCAACGGTCTGTGGGCGTGATGTCCATGGCTGAGACTTTATGCCATGGGTTTCAAACAACAAAAAGGACATAATAATAAATTATATTAAATAAAATAAAATATATAAATTAAAATTAAGACAAGAATGTCTCCGATTAAGCAATTGAGGTGTTTTGTTATTGGATGTAATAATGAACATAGCAGTCGTCATTTACTCCTGACATCTGAGCTGCTGAAGACACACAGGATTAACGTTACTTTCGTTTTTGAAGGGAATGCGCCGATCCCCAATCTGCCTAAATGCGTTTATGTTTGTGTGAATCATTCGTGATCCAGCTTCATCTACAGAAGAAGTGAGTATAAGTGGGGTCAGCAGAGCTCATTAGCATTTAAAGCAACATGGACTAAAACAGCTTGCTGAAAACAGAGCTGATTTTGACAGGGTAAAAAGGGTGTTTTTTTTTAAACTACCATTGAGACATTTTAACCAAAGTATGTTATAGACCTTTCATTAAGACCCTAAAGAATCATATCAACTTGTGGAAAATGGGCATCCGATGACCCCTTTAAAATAAAATAATATTATAATTATTAGTAATATCATTTAATTATATTTTATAAAATATAATTAAAATAAAACTAAACTCATTTTAAGTAAAATAATATGTAAATGTAATGTAAAAGCATCTACAAAAAAAACAACTACTTCACCAACAGGTACAGAAACTGTCAGTGGGCAGTATCCCTCGATCTATGCTCATCATCCTGGAGGACGATCTTGTGGACAGCTGCAAATCAGGTAAATGCTGTACAGTCTGTATTTTATACATGTATTTACTGGCTTAAATAATTTGACAGTGCAGGACTGATATCTGTATCACTCAATTACTCTGCCCAGTCCTGCACACTGTTAAAGTCTGCGTGAACCGGAAGTTGCTGCTGACTTTATTTCAGTGTAGTGACGTATTTCCAGCTGAAATTGAATATTGAATAGAGGGCGTGGTTTAATTTTTGCGCTCCTCCTCTCTGTCTCTCACTCATAGCAACCTAACGGTTGGAGGGGTGTGTTTAAGGATATTCTGCCCAAGCTGTCAAACTGACGTCATCAGAGAAGGAATGCCATTCCAGAGTGGAAGCAAATGTTCAGATTTTGATAAAAGATTACCAAGACAAAAAAATGTTTTCAGCAGATTAACTTGCACGGATTAATTGTTCACATCACGACTAGCAATGTGCGCTAATAAAGTAAATAAAGTCAATTTTGATTTGTACAAGACAGACTTTATTAAGATTTTCTCATGAATGAATTCCAACATAATTTTCCTGTTGTTTTCAGTCATGTGCTTCAGTGCAATAACAATAACATTGTAAATAATCAGATTTGTTGTAGAATTTATTTATTTTATATATGTTAAAATTTATTTTAATTATACAAAATAAAAATGATATATATTTATATTATATAAGCATTTTTTGCATCATATTATGTGCAATTTTTAATCTTTTTTTTACTTCTATAATAATAGTAACATTCCTCAGGGCAACATCATGTGTCTTTTTCCCCTCATACTTTTCTCGCAGGCGATGACATCACAGTGTATGGAGTTGTGTGTCAGCGCTGGAAGCCGATGTTTCTGGATTGCCACTGTGATGTGGAGATTGTGCTGAAAGCAAACTATATCGAGGTCAACAATGAGCAGTCCACCACAGCACTGGTGCTGGAAGACATTCAGAAGGAGTTTGAAGATTTCTGGGACAGTCACAAACATGACCCCATTGCTGGTTGGTGTCTTTTTTAAAGTATTGAATCTGGGGAAACCAGTCTAGTAGTACAAATAAACAATATGGCATTTTTAAAGGGGTCATATGATGCGATTTCAAGTTTTCCTTTCTCTTTGGAGTGTTACAAGCTGTTCGTGAATAGATAAGATTCCTAAAGTTGCAAAGACTAAAGTCTCAAGCCCAAAGAGATATTCTATATAAAAGTTAAGACTCATCCACGCCCTCCTAAAACGCCTCGTTCAAACACGCCCCCACATGTCTACGTCACTGTGTGGGAAGATTTGCATAACGCCACCCAAATGTATATGCAAAGAAAGAAGGCGTAACTTTGATTCTCGCTGTAGAATTGTTGCCACCGCCGCCATGTTTTGGAGATGCTGTGTGTTTCATTGTGAAAGCGAAACTACTTTGTTTGGCCTTCCAAAAGAGGACACAACTAGACATCAGTGGTTAAGTTGTATTTACAACACTGTTCAAACCAAATATTCAGATGTGTGCAGCGCATTTTTACGGAGGACATTACACCAAATACACAAAATAATGTTATTTTTTAGCAACGTCATATAACCCCTTTAATACCATGTCTTCTCTGCATTTAAAATATTTTTCTTATTGCTATACAAACTCAATTATAAGAGAACCACCTAGTAATGGCCTAGAAACACCCTAGCAGCCAATCATAAAGTAAAACAGCTCATGGGATTCAGTGTGGGTTTATGAATCATAAAATCTATCTTTCTTATTCTTTCTTTCTGTCTCTCTTTCTCTTGACATTCTGAAGGCAGGAATGAGATCTTGATGAGTCTTTGCCCTCAGGTGTTCGGCATGTACGTTGTCAAGCTGGCTGTTGCTATGGTTTTGGCAGGTGGGGTACAGAGAATAGATGTGTCTGGAACCAAGGTGAGAGGTATGCGTTCACATTCCACATAATGGGCAGTCTGACATTTAGACTTATCGTGATACAAAGTTCAGAGGTGTGCTTGAAAAGTGTACTGCTCTTGTGAATAGTTCTGACTCAAAGCATGCGCTCTGTTTAGGAGAGTCTCATCTGTTGCTTGTGGGCGATCCAGGCACTGGGAAGTCACAGTTTCTGAAGTACGCGGCTAAGATTACACCACGCTCTGTGCTTACTGCAGGAATCGGATCTACTAATGCAGGTTCCACACGTTCTTCTGAACCTCACATCACCTTCTCATTAACGTTCACAATCAGCGCTCTAGGGGAATGTTCTTAATAGCATAACAGTATACTTTGCTTAAAGGGATAGTTCACAAAAAATTTACATTGTCATTTACTCACCCTCATGTTGTTCCAAACCTGTATGAGTTTCTTTCTTCTGTTGTTTTTTCACTACTATGGAATTCAATGGCTACCAACTAATATTCTGTATTCTAATAAGAATACATTTTTGTTAAACACAAAATCAGCGTATTAGAATGTTTTCTGAAAAATCATGTGAAGACTGGAGACAATCACTGAAGACTGGAGCTGCTGAAAATTCAGCTTTGCATCACAGGAATAAATTGCATTTTAAAATATATTAAAGTAAATATAGCTGTTTTCAATTGCAATTATATTTCACATATTTTAGTGTATTTTTGATTAAATAAATGAAGCCTGGGTGGGCATAAAACATTTTTTTTTTAATATTTTAAAAATTGTACTTATACAAGTATTTATGTAAATTAATATAAATAGTATAATTCTTCCTACTCAAAACCCTAACATTTGTGAAGAAATAAAAGCTAAATAGAGCCAGAACCAAACTTTGTGTAGTACTGAGGTGGTGTGCCGTGTCTGATGGTTTTTTAGTTGTTTTTTTGTCCACATCCTGTTAAGTTAAATATTGTTGTATACTTCAAATTGCTGCATACACATACTATTTTTGGCACATACTAGGCACTATCCACTTCTACTGTGCAATGAGCATTTAGTGCTGTTGCATCATTGTTTGTATCATTGTGAAATGCTGGTCAGGTCTGACAGTGGCGGCTGTTAAGGACTCTGGACAGTGGCATCTGGAGGCAGGAGCCCTCGTTCTCTCTGATGGAGGTCTGTGCTGCATCGATGAATTCAACAGCATCAAAGAACATGACCGCACCAGCATCCACGAGGCCATGGAGCAACAAACCATCAGCGTGGCCAAAGCTGGGTGAGTGCTGGGGGAAATAATGTCTTCTTGCATTTTTTTTTTATTAACCAAAAGCTTGTGAGCATCACATTAAATGTCACATGTTCCTCTTTTTTAGAATGGTGTGCAAACTGGACACAAGGACCACCATCCTGGCAGCTACAAACCCAAAGGGGCAGTATGACCCTAATGTCTCAGTTTCTGTGAACGTGGCCCTTGCCAGCCCCCTCCTGAGCCGCTTTGACCTCGTACTAGTTCTGCTAGATACTAAAAACCCAGAATGGGACAAAATAATCTCCTCCTTTATCCTGCAGAATAAAGGTTTGTCCCAAAGAAGAATCTTTTGTTTTGTGATATCAGGGTTTTTCAAAGTAGGTGCATGTTATATTATTTTACATTTAAATTACATTACATTCTATTATTTTGTGTTATACTATGAAGGGCAAAAGAGGAAATAAATATATGAAATCTGAATATATATTTGGTCCAGAGAAAAATATTTTGTTTTGTAATATCAGGGGTTTTCAAAGTAGGTGCATATTATGTGAAATCTGAATACATATATTATATTATATTATATTATATTATATTATATTATATTTTGAAGGTTGAAAGAAGAAATAAATATATGAAATCTGAATATATATTTGGAAATCCTGAATATAAAGTTATAATTCTAAACATATAAACATAATTCCAAATATATAGTTAGAACTATATATTTGTATGCACAATTTACATTTTCAGGCTTATAACCATATATTTGGATTTACATAGCATTTTATGTACTTATTTATATAATTGTATAAAATATTTTGTAATTATTTTATTTATTAAAAGTAATATATATTATTTTACATAATATTCTTTGTAGAAATTCAAATATTTCCAATATAATATGTTACACATATCTATGATAATAATTTAAAAAAAAAATTTGGGGCCTGCATTTCTAGGCCATCCCTACAAAATTTCCTTTTTTCCCCCTTCATTTGAATCATGTCCTGGTTCCATGAATATATTTTTTGGCACATTTTTAACTATACCCGTCTATATAGTGCATGTTTTTGTTGTACATGACATACAAAAGATGTAGTTTGTGAGGTGTCATCTGATGTGTTATTGGATCAGACGCCCCCCCCCCATCCAGCCTGACTGCTGGTTCCAGCTTCCCTCATGGGATGTGTTGCTTGTTCAGTCTTCGTTATTTTCCCAAGTGATGCCACTTTGATAGGAAAACTTGTCCCCTCGAGGGCTGGTTCACCCCTCATTTGGCTGAGAAACTCTTTGATACCGACTAGAAGTTAATGGTGAAGCCTTGCCATTTGTTGACTATTTATAAATATTCATCTTAACATCTCTCCTTTTCTCTCAACTCTCTTCCCTCGTGTTTTTCCCACAGGAGCGCCGAGTGAGTCTTCATGTTTATGGAGTATGGAGAAGATGAGGGCCTATTTCTGCCTGATCAAGACTCTTAAGCCTTGTATAACACAGGAAGCAAACACCATACTGAGCCGCTACTATCAGCTGCAGAGACAGAGCGACAGCCGTAACGCCGCCCGGACGACCATCCGCATGCTGGAGAGTCTCAGCCGCCTCGCCGAGGGTCAGATGCTCACATGCAGCATAATATCTGACGCTCATCTCATCAGAGTTGATGCTCATCTCTCTTTGTGTTTCAGCTCATGCCAGGCTGATGTTCAGAGAGACAGTGACAGCAGAGGACGCTGTTGTTGTGGTGTCTGTTATGGAGTGCTCCATGCAGGTTTGTTTATTACTACTTCATCATCCGAAAGCTATATTAAATTGTTGAGGACTGGATAAGCATATTTTTATGTTTGCCTCAGGGAGGCGCTCTACTTGGAAATGTGAATGCTCTACACACCTCTTTTCCTGGCAACCCCTGTGAACAGTATAAAACACAGTGTGAGATTGTGCTCGAGAGGCTGGGATTGACTGATATCCTACAGAAAGAACTGCAAAGACTTTCAAGGTAAAACTGAAATGATCAATTTAAAATACAATTTTATTTAATTTGTACTATAAATAAAAAGTATTATCAAATACAAAAGAGAATTGTATTAATATGTAATATTCATGACAAAATATGTATATGTTTAAATACAAAATAGTATTTAATATAATAATATAAATTATACTTATATTTTGATTAATATGTAGTAAATATAAATATATTATAATAGTAAAATTAAGTTAATTTAATTTGTATTAATTTTAAACATAATAATAATAAATATTTGATAGTAATAATACTATATATATATATATATAATTTTACCAGTTAGTATTATTAGTTTTTGTTTTAAAATACAGTTTTATACAATTGTATTTAATTAGTAATATGAATCAAACATTATCAAAAATCAAATGTATTATGTAATTTTGTAACCTGATTTTAATATATTCACTTCTATTAATAGTAAAATATTAAATGTCATTATTAAAATATGTATATATACGTTTTAATATGGAAACCCATTTCCGCCACTGAATAAAAAGTTTTTTTTCCTCGCAATTGTGAGTTTATATCTCGAAATTCTGACACAAAAGTCAGAATTGCGAGTTTGTATCATGCAATTGTAAGAAAAAAGTCAGAATTGTGAGGTAAAAAGCAATTTTTTTTTTTTTATTCAGTGGCGGAAACGGGCTTCCATATTTTACAGCACAAACTTGCCTAAAATTCATCTGAGCCCTTCAAAGATCTGAGATTCCTCCTAAGAACATTTTTTGTGCTCGTCTTTAGGCTAAATAGCAGAAGACCGGACTTCCCTAAAGGGACCGAACCACGTAGTGACCACACCAGCGAGCGTCCAACTGGTCAGAATCACAGTAATGGTGAGGTGACCACTGATTCAGACCCCAGCCTGGACTGGTTCCACTCCTTATCCAGCTCCGTCGTTCACACCTCCCCCGTCATTACCTCCACACAGAACGCCACCACCATACTGGGCGACACGGCGGTGTTACCTAGCAACAGCCGTTCCATACGCCGCAAGGGTTCTGCGTGGGAGAAGGATGAGGATCCATCCGTGGTTGAGGCTGTTGCGGAAAAGGGCTGCTGAACGAGGAACGAGTTTTAGGAGAGACAGGCGACGATTTAGAGGAGATATTCTCCCACAGTACACCCAAAACGGGGAAGAAACCCTCAAAAATAAAAAACACAACCATCAGTCCTCCTGACATCAGAGCCGAGAGCGGAGAGGATTTACGCAGCAAACTCACAAACTTCACATTCAAGCCCAGAGAGAGAATGACTCATGCCGATCAGTCGGTTGCGAAAGCGAGTGCCAAAGTGGCGGTGCATGAGGGAGCGAAACCTACCGCACCTCAGATGCCAGCAACACGGGCCGAAAGTGGGAATCGGTCAAGCTCACGTCGTCCAGCAGAGGGCAGCAGAGCTAATGAGAAACCCCGGCTAGGAACTAACAATAAAACCAAAGACTTTTCCTCTCCGGTCTTGAATGATGTGAGCACAGCTCAGAAAGGGATGTCTGAGGACACTGAACATCAACAACAGCTGCTGTCCAGACTCAACAGCCACTCTCCAGGTGAGAATAATGGCAACACTAATAAACACCCACAATCCCCACCAAGGACAGACCACCCAAAGGTGAAGGTGGCCGGTTCAACTCTGGCCAGACTTTCTAGATTCTCTTTTACTGACTCATCTGAGGAAAACACTGGTGATAAAAGAGTCCCAGCTACAAACGGCAGTACAAACAAAGTGCCAGCAAACCCGCTTTCTGAAGACCAGGAGAACACAAGCACACAGACCAGGAAAAATATATCCACAGATTCGAAGGCCACCACAATGCAGACGGGCAACATGAGGACAGAGCCCTCCGACAGACAGGAAGAATCCGGAGAGAACGCTACAAAGAAGAGGAGATGCTTTGAGTTGGGCTCCGGAGGCCCCGCAGGACTCCTCAAAGGTTTTTCACTGTTCGGCTCGTCTGTCATAGACGATGAAGATCTAGATGCTGACTGGATCTGATGCAGCAGGAGACGTTTGTCATGTGTATTAGCAGTATATGTATTTTTTGTGTTTATTTGTTCATTTAAATGCAGTGTGATGTGTTTTAATGGCGAAACAGATTCTGATGTCATAGTAAAAAGAGTCTATTTGCACTTTTGTTTTCGTTTAGTAAATATCAGTTACATTTTAATGTCTGGTTTTGTTTTCTCAGTAACTCAGTTTATATAGTTACATTCATATGTATATACCCCTTGCAGTTTTTTACATGCAAGGTTACATACCCCTCAGTTTTTTTTTTAAAGTTGTTTATGTTTGTTTTTAAATGTTTTTATGGAAGCCCGTTTCCGCCACTGAATAAAAAAAATCGCGACTTTTTTTTCCTCATAATTTTATCATAATTTTTACATCTCGCAATTCTGACTTTTTTCTCAGAATTGCATGATATAAACTTGCAATTCTGAGAAAAAAGTCAGAATTACACGTTTATATCATACAATTCTGACTTTATAACTCATAATTGCGAGTTTGTCACACAATTCTGAGAAAAAAAAGTCAGAATTTGGAGATTTTAAATCGCAATTGAGAGAAAAAAAAAGTCATAATTGGGAGATAAAAAGTAGCAATTACTTTATCTTTATTTAGTGGCGGAAATGGGCTTCAACTAAAAAACAAATAATACTAAATAAAAGGCCAAATACTATTTTCAGCATTGCTCTTGTTTTAAAATGATAAACATCTCTCTTGTTTTGCAAGAGACTAATTTGCTAGCAGGCAGCTATCTCTACATTCACAGCGTCAAACAAACATATTAGCTCATCCACACCGCACTGTAATAATCCATGTATGTTTACTGTATACTTACTGAAATGCATAATGTACTGTACTTTTCTGTCAGCAAACAGTGTATCAGATTGCTAGTATTGCTAACACGTTTCATAACAAAGAATAAGCTCTCAAACACACGGAGACTCGCTCCTAAAGCCTCCCCAGACGCGCGCTCATTCCTCTCCACGGCGCCGCTGACCGTTCTTCATCATATATAACTTGTAATATGATAATCATAGACTGATATGATCCGAGTCGCGTTCGCTACAACTCTTCCGTGCGGAGAAAAGCCTCCAATTCTCGCGTCCACGAACTACAACAGCCAACAAACCACTGGCTGGCCGACCGGATGGAGACCCCCCTCTCTCGCCCACTCTGATGACGCAGAGGTGTCAGAGTTCACAAAGTCTGTAATGGCCGATCTGAGTGACATGTAATCTGACCAATTGCAGCCCAGAACCGACCGCAGATATCTATAACATCAGACGCGCTGCCTGCGCGCTGGAATGAGATGGAAAGCCATTATTTCCAGACGCGCTGGATTACACTCCAAGCTTTCAAATGAACCCATATATGGGCTGATACCATATAAGGAAGGCTATGTAAATGAAGCATACACATTTTTAACGCGATTTTGGACCCGTATCCGGGTCCGCAGAGTTTAAGATTAAACATGTGAGCAGAACTGTACATTAAAAAGCACCATTCTACACTAGCATTTCCCCCCTAGTCCACTTACACTGATAATCAAGGTTATGTACAAAAACCTTGTTTAATTTTACAAGACCATTTTTCTTTCTTCCTCTGACCCTTAGAATCAAACATACTGTTTTTGCTACTTCACCTTTAAGATTTCTATAGTTAAATCACCTCTGTTATGATTGCTGAATACCGAATAGGTTGTAAACAACTGGGCAGTCATGTTCATTTCCACATGGTTCTGACCTCATAACCATGATGATTTATGAATGACCCTTTTTTGCAGCTTATTTTTGAAAATGGTTTGTGTGTACAAGGTCTAAATTAGTCTTGTTTAGTTAAAAAAAAATAATAATAATTTTCTCGCTTTAAGTAAACAGCCAATTCTAAACGTATAATAAAACAGTGCAAGATAATGGAGCCAGTTAATTTAACAACCTAATAGTGCATGTTTAAGCGATTTGTTGTTCAACAATAGTGTACTCACCCAGCAAAAATAAAGCCAGGCTAAAGGTGCCTTTCAGCCCATGCAAATTCAAATAACCATCAAAACAGATGCTTTAATGCTTAGTGGATGCTGTAAGAGATGTTTTCAGGCTTGAACAATTTACCCCTTGGGAGCAATAAATGACACCATGGTGAAGAGGTGTTGTCTATTGTCATAACGAATTGCATTCCATTGGGAGTTTAGGGATGAAGGTACTGCAGTAGGTGATAATAGGATCATACAGGATCTGCTGCTGTCCCCAAGGTCAAAATCATGGATTAAGATGGTTAAGTCAAGCACATTTCACGTGTTTGTCATTCAAACCTCTTTAACAGCAAGCAATTCCACTTACTTGGTTTATTGCTGTTTTAAAAGGAAATTCGTCATCTTTTTAGGCTCTTGTCTATAAGGTTATTGGTGTGTGTGAGAATGTATATGTATTTTTATACACCTGGTAATGCTGTATTTGTTCTTGAAATAAGGACATGCTTTTATTGATCTATGTGTTAATATGTGACTATAATAAGCTTCTGTTTTGTCTTGAAGCAGTTATAAGATCATTTCCATTGACTGGCTGAGTTACTAGTGAAGTCTAACCTTCTGTTGGAGAGGGTCAAAGTCTGTACAGCTTCAGTATTCGTCTCAGAGGAGAACTGCGGTAAAGGGAGGCTGAAGGTAAGATGAGACGTTAATGGATCCTAAACTTCCTGTAGATGGATCACTGGCCTTATCAATAATGAAGCGTTATTGATTTAATGTCTCTGAATGTGCCACCAAGGATACCCAAACTCACCATTACATCATTCATTTGGCATCTTACAGCGTTTTAGAATTTGGGACTTTGTCATTTTAAAGCTTTTTCGCAGCAAATTTGAATCATTTTAGTCTGGACTCTGGTGAGGTCTGATAGATAGATGTCTACAGTTTATATAGTTACAAGTTTCCGTATTCCTTAACATTTAAAAAAAAAAAGTTTTTGTTACATTTTTTAAAGGTTGTTATATATAACTATATAAACAATAGATAGATACCAACATATAGCAACATATAACATATGCAATTTTACATATTCACATTTTTTTATTTTACAGAATTTCACGTCTCTTACAAAATTACATTTACAAGTTGCATTTACGTTTTTCTAAGGTTTTATCTATTTATTATCAGTCAAAAAGAAGTTACTGTTTAAATGTAGCCTAACTATATAACTAATAGATATATAGTTTATATAGTTACATACAAGTTAACACACACAAACACGCACACGTTTAAATACACTTACAAAAGTTGAGTTTAGTTTTTTCAAAAGGTTTTTATCAATTTATCATCAAAATTACAAGGTTACAGTTTTTATAGGACTAACTTAAAATTTATCAAAAAAAGTTTCTGTTTATATGTACCTATAGAGATGGATGGATGGATGTTTTAACTTTGTTAACCCACATAAATGCCACTTGTTTTAGCAGAGAATGTAATGCAGTTGTCCAGAGAACTTAATGCGTTTGTAATTGAAAATTCTAGTCAAAAGCCTTTTGGTCTTTAGGTCAGAAGGCGTAAAACTTTCAGTTTCCCCATCAGATTGTTTTGACAATTTTGAAAGCCTTGCATGTGTCATGTCAGAACCATATGCCGGAGTGATTTTGGTGTCTCGAGTGACCATTTGAGCCACTGCACATCTAAAGGAACACCTTTCGTTAAACTCTATTCTGTTCTATTCAGCAGAGTTGGAGTTTTGTTTGACAGGACCTGGGATTTTCCTTTTAGGCTTGAGCTAGAACACTCTTCTTTTAGGGTAAGCATGGAAATCTTTGAGAAACAGTCATTTATGCTGCAAGCTGTAATTCCATAAAGATTAATAAAGAAGAAAGTGAGTTGTTTGGTTCAGGTAATACAGGCATTATGCTCTTCTTCTGTTGCACATGATCATATGAACTGGACAGAACAGAACGTGTTGCTCTGACAGTTGGGGTGTAGCTCGATTACATAAACCCAGAGGTGTAATATGAATGTTGTTTTTGCAACTCTTCACCTGGAACGCTTCAGGGGAAAAAAGCATCAATCACTGCGAATAGCAGGTTTATGTGAGATGTCATGGAGCAAACTCTATCTGCTTTAGAAAAAGCTAGTTTGCTCTATTTTTGTGATAAATAGAAGTATGTTTTTGACATGACAGGCATGCATTTGACACATTAAATGTGTGTAAAGTTGGGCAACACATCCTCTTCTGCATGGTCAGCCATCGCCTGCTAACTGGAAAGAAAATTGCTGATCAAGAAACACTGACTCACACGTTAGCAAGTTTGTGAAATTTGCAACATCCTTCTGAGTGTCTCAACAGTGTTAGGAAAAATTAACTCATAAATTAAAGTTCTGTTATTAGTTACTAACAGCATAAACCTGTGTTTTCCAAACGTTTTGAAGAATCTTTATACAGTTTATAGCTGCAAAAATAGCAAATTTTTCCAATTTTTTTTTTTAGTTGGTCACTCTTCTTGGTTACCAAGAGCTGTAAAGCAATTCTTGATAAAGGTATTCCTTTGAGCTCCAATGAAAGAAAATCTGGGGCCTTATGAATTCAGTGATGCAGAAAACGCGGATGGAATCATGGAATCCAGTCATAAAAAAACAGAATTTACTGTTTAAGGCGGAATTTGCCATATTTTGGATGAATAAATTAAAAGTAGGTCAGTACACTTAAATCAGAACACGATATGGACTACTCTCTGTGAATATTAAGCCACAAAAAGATGATTTAAATATGAATCCTGCATGTTCTGCGTGTTTCTGTGAGAATGAATTGCGCAGACGCACTGTTTTGTTTACTACACATGCTCGCAGAGTTTTTAGCCGCCTAAATATATGAGTACATGAACCTAATCTACAGAACTGCTCTGAGAGTCACTTCATGAGCATTTTACCGTGTTTTGTGAGAAAAACTTATAGTCATATCATATACAAACAGAAACCTAAAGGTCTTCACAGCAATCCGTCAAAATAAAAGTTTGGTTTAACATGAAGAAACTGTGACAGAAATATATTACTTAATGTAATTATAGTACAATTACTGACAATAAAATTATAATTAAAACATTAGTTTTAAGGAAATATTACCTGAAAAAATGTAAACAAATCAATTATTTAGAGATGCTTTTGATTAAACTTTTATGAAAACATTCAAATGAAATCAAGAAA